TAAACTGTTCGTAAAATTAAAAAATCAAAATGATATAAAAGATATACAGGCTTCTATTCCTGTTTCTGTTCCTCTGTTCCCCATCCTGTTTAGGTATGATTATTTATTACTTTCTTTTGAATCCTTCCAGTATTTCTTTAGGCAATTACAAGGAAATACACATATACGAAAGGAATCAAACTATACAAGTTATTTTGCATCTTGATTTTTTTTTTACTTAATATATTTTAGAAATCTTTCTGTATATGTATAAAGAAGGTGCTTCTTTTGTTTTAACAGCACATAGAATTCCATTCTGTGAAAGCATCATGGTTTACTTAACCAGTCTCAAAGATGAATGCTTGAGTTCTTGCCCATATTCTGTTTTCACAATGTTGTCATTCACAAAAAACAAGATAAATGAATAGCAATGCCTATTTTTCATCTCAGATACTTGCCGGCGTATCTATAGGATAAATCCTCAGGAGTGGGGCTCCTGGGTCAAAACTAAACTATGAATTTTTAATTTTGTAAGATATTGCCTAATTGCCCTCCAAGGTGGGGGGGTCCCAGTCTGCACATCCAAGAGCAGTGTGTGAAAATGCGTGTTTCCACAGTCTCCCCCACTGAGTGTGTGCTCACACTTTGGACTTCTGCCCATTGGTTAGGTGAGAAATGGCATCTCAGTGCAGTTTCAATTTTCATGTATCTCTTTATGAATGAAGTAGAATATCTTTTCATATGTTGAAGAGCTTTTCCGCCATGAACTCTGTGTTCATACCCTTGGCCCAGTGTTCTACTGGATTGTGTAGCAGTTGTTCGTGCCGCACCCTCATCCTCTTGGCATTCGCCTCTCCAGGCTGAAAGCTGCTGTGTGAATACCCGTAACACTTTGCTGCCGGCTTTTTTTCCTGGCCACTGTGGCATATGCGGCAAGCGTATAGGAAAAATCAGAGAAGTTGGAAAGTTAATGCCCTAGAAACTTCTCTCATTCAATAACAAACAGGGATTTGGTGCATAAAAACCCCCGTCTTGCTTTCCCCTGGATGGGATGGGATAACTCTGAGGTACATTTGATGCTGTCTCCCAGAGCTTCCCAGTGATGTTGAGCCCACAGTGGTAACTGGCTTGAAAACCCACACTTTATTCCTTCCCTGCTCTGTCTACGTTCCTACTCCATTCCCAGTACTTAATGAATTCATTTCCAGAATCAACTATTTGCATTAGAATCCTTGCCTCAGAGTGGGCTTCTGGAGGAACCCGAGCCAGGCCCAGTTGTTCAACCTATCTTTGAGTGCTACTCAAATTGTGGTCAGCAGATGGCGCTGGTTTGCGAACCATTTGTTACCAGTCTGATAAATTCAGAAATTGAGCGTCAAAGTTTAGAAACTTTAATAGCGATTTGATATTGCCACAATATTTAAGTATGGTGATTTTGTGTTTTACACACACACACACACACACACGCACACACACACACAATGGTCAGTGATGAATTCAAAAAAATAAAAACAAACTGGCCTCTACCTCCCATAGTTGGAGAGGCACAAACTGTGAATAATGACACTAAGACCAATTGGGTGGAAGTACAACTAGGAAAATTTTGGTTAGATGTAAGAGAGATTTTTCTAATTGCCCAGAGTGCCTAACAACAGAAGAGATTTCTTGTTGGTGGCAGTGAATCCTCTTCTCATGAGAAGAGTTAAGCCTGTGTGGCTGGCTGGCTGTTGAGACTGTAAATAAGCCTGAATTTGGTGGTGGATCTCTTCCATTTTCACAGTTTCTACTACTCTGCCTCAGTGAAATTTGAACAGTAATTCTGTCATTCCTATTCTTCTCTTTCTATGAAAGAAAGGATGAGTAAAAATGAAAATAATACACTGGTTGTGTTCCTTCAAAACCTGTTGACTCTCTAAAAATTATAGGGGAAAGTGTAATGCTAGTTGATCCGTTCTGATAGTTTCTGATATACTGTGAGTTCCATCCCAAAAGCCCTTCATATTTACAAGACTGAGAACCTGGCAACAATAGGTAATGGGACTGAATCTCTCTCTCTCTCTCTTTTTTCTTTAACACTAAGATTTCTCAACTAGTATTAAAATGCTAAATGAAAAGTCTTACAAGATTTCCTGTCTGAGTCACTGGATCTCAAGAACAAATAAGTTCACTCAGTACACAAGGCACTAAGGCAAAACCAGAGAGAAAGGAAAACATTTGCCTTTCAGTTCCTGCAGAAGAGCTGTACTCTCCTTGGCTACTCCTTTGAGTCCTCCTTCAGAAGGTTTTGCCTACCTCCACCTGAACAAAGCTCCCTTTGTTGCTTAGGAAAGCTTGTGGCCGGATTGGAGTGGAATATTAAAATCGCAGTTACGACAGAGTTGAACTCAATGCTGAAACCATAGATGGCACATCGGTACAACCTTAGAGGGTGTACTAAAACCAACAGTAGGCAAACATGGAGTGTTAAGGATGGGCAATCAGGAATATTTAAAGTACTAATGAGCTTCCTTTTTGAAAAGTATTTCAAAAAAGAGTTGCCAGTGGTTCAGTCCATCCAGCCTAATATATGAATTTAAAGGGACATTTTGGAGGATGGCCTAAGTTACCCCCATTATATTAATGGTATTGAAAGGGAATGGACCTGGAGTCAGACTGTCTTAGTTCAAATCCCAGTTCTGCCTCTTACTAGACAAGGCACTTGATGTTTTTAAGGCTGTTTCTTCTTCTGAAAAATGGAGATAATAAGAGTACTTAGAGAACTTTATGAGGATTGAATAAAATGTATGTCAAGTGTTTAGCACAGGCTTTGCTCATAGTATTATACAATAAACATCATTAGAAGCCTTCCAAGATTCCTTCGGAGACGGAAACATGTAGAACTGGATGCTCTTGTGCTGGGTGGGCTAGGGCAGGGGGCACTGTCCTGCCTGCACACTCCCCCTTCTCTAGCCCCCAATCCTTTCCCCTTCACCCTTGACCCTTCTCCTCCCTCCTTTGGGTCTTTTTCTCACATCCTCTTATCTGCGAGTTCAGGCTTTGCCTTGAGCTTCAGGAAAGGTAAGGCATAGAAGAGTAGCTTATTCTCTTTTCCTAAATTCCACTGAACAAATCTTTAGAAGAGTGGATGATTTTTCTACATTGTAATCCTAACTCACTGTAGAAAATTGGAGTAGGATCATATAATGATATCTTTGGTGTGTGTGGATTAGACAGGTGGTGGTGGTGTGGATGATGGCTATGGCGATGGAGAATGAAAATTGCAAGCTCTGTGTGCAGCACCTTGACTGCCATTCTACCTTGATTTGGGGAGGAGGTCCAGAATCTTTGAGCTCCCAGAGGTAAAATTAGTTATATCCTTTCATCGTTACCATGGCTCTCCTGTGATCCCTGAACAGTAAATGCATGAAGAGCTCTTGAACACAATTTCTAATTGAAGTGGCTTTTGACCAGGGGCTTTTCTGTTTGCCTCTAGCTTACTCCACGTAGACAACCGTCTCTTTATTTATCAGTTTTTATTTTGCTTTTGAAAGAATGATAACACCCATCAGGCCAGGCGAGCAGGGCGTTTAATGTCTGGTCCCACAGGCTGAAGTCCGACCTGAAGTCGGTCCACTCATTGTTAGCGCTGTCCGAGGGGCACCCACTTGGAGGAAGGAAAGCCTTTTGTTTGTACTTCTCACAAAAGTCCACTGTGGGATAGGATACTCCTACCCTGTTTGGCCAGCTGATCCTCTCCCCTCTCTGAGGGTAGGACTGAGACATGCGGGATATTGGAATGTACCCCTCCCCCCCCAAGAGCTCAGGCATATATCGCACGAAGCTGTGCTTTTAATGTGCCGTTAATGTGCTTTTAAACCCATGTACGGCCTCTCCTTTTTCTTATCCCTGAAGAGAGGTATTTTTAGTTCCAGATGCTGAAACTACTGTGATTCAAAACCTTTCAATCACTTTCTTTGGAATGCTGATGAGTCAAAACCAGAATTAAACAAAACTAGAAAATATTTTTAAAATAATATTTAATGAGTACACATTTACAAAGGCAGTCATCCCTTAACGTGGGGAAAACATACAAAAATAAAAGGTCTATGAGTTTAATAAAAATTTTCCTAGAATACAGGAAACACACCAGCAGTGAAGACATTTAGTCTAACTTTTTCATGTAGAACAGTTTGGACCTGTTAAAAGGAATACAGTTTACCCAACACACCTATTTCCATCTGTTCCAAACTTGTTCTTTCCACCTGCAGTAAACTGAAGGAGTCAGCTGTGTTAGGATGGTCAAACTGGCTTGATGGTTTGGGGAGGGATGGATATTCGCAGGGAGGAAAAGAGGAAATTGGCTTCTCTGGTCAGCTGGTGGGGCTTGGAGCCCTTGTGGTTGAGGCTGAGGGTTGGGCCTGGCAATGCACTGTTATGCCAAAACCACCAGGGCGCTCTTTAACTCCTAGCTTCATGCGTGGCTTTTCTTAAGTACCCAGGAAGAGCATTTTTACTAGGTTATAAAAGTGGAGTCCTTTTTACTCTAGGGAAGCTTTTTTACCTAGGTATGGCATTTTCTATTTTTAGTGAACTATGACCCAGTAAAAACATATTATTCTTTTACCAAAAGGGAGCATGGTTAACCCCAAAGGCTTTCCTTAGATCAGCCTGGATAGTACTTAATCTTTAATCAACCAACCTGTAGCCAAAGAGCAGGCTCTAACCCTAAACACTTGGCTGTTTTGCATAAAACTGAGTGGATGAGTAGTGACGTTTTCCCCCTCCTTCCCACTGATGCTCTGGGGTCAGCACCACACACCACAGCTCTGCTCAGAGTCTTCCAGCTTTTTTATATCCTCGATTGGGTGAATCAAGGATGAATTAATGGAGCATATGTTCTGTGTATGTTCTCAGTGAACACAAATTGAAATAAAAAACAAAATCTATAAGGGTATGATGCGACCAATACCCTCATCCAGTGCTGATGATATTGACAAAGGCACTTAAGAAATAATTTTGCAATATATATCAAATGCAATAAAAAGTTCTTTAATTTTGTAATCCCAATTCTTGGCAAGTATTCTGAGGAAATAATTTAAAATATGGAAAAAGGTTAAAAGTGCTAAGATATTCTCTGAAATGTTATTTGTTTTAGTAAAAAATGGATATAACCTACATGTTTAATTAGGGCGGTGATTAAATAAATGCCCATTTGATGTAATATTATGCAGCCACTAATTAAATACATATACCTTGTAAGTAAGAGAACAAAGCCACTGATATAGTAAGTGAAAAAGGAAGGATATAAAATTGAATATACATTATAGCTAGAACTATTTTCAAAAAGTTTTATAGAAAAATATCCTGGATTGTGGGTGATGTTTGAATATATTTTAATCATTTTATATAATGTCATGTAGAATATATGATAATAAAAGTAAAAAAAGAGAAAAATAAATGGCCTTTGTAAAGCAGGCAGAAAAATGTCAAACCCAAAGCTTTTGGTTATTTTGGTATGTGGGAAGATCACGCGTAAGGCTCCTTTTAACTCCAGGCGTGAGCCAGGAAGCCTAATCCTGCTGAAGGTCATCTTGGAAATGGCACTATCAGCACAGAAAACAGAACCATCCTGCATTCCAGCAAGGATTTGAGAAAGAACCAAGTCTCATATTACAACCACTGCTCACACCTCTCCGCCCTGACTTTCATTTCCATAATTCTCTCTCATCTGTGCATCCGTCAAACTAACACTTTCATTATTCATTTAATTTCACTACTTAAAATTATAATAAACTATGACAAATTTTGGAAGCTACTTTTTTATACTAGAAATTCATTTCATAGTGATTAATGTTGAACAATATTTGGAATATATTATTTACAAAGCATACTACAATACCTAAATAATACCAAACCTAATATAGTGCAACTTTACAAAATTTATTTAGCTTGCTGTCTAAAATTCTGGTTTATTTGAACTTTTTGTGCAAGGGCTTTTATCAACCCTTCCTTGCTTATTGGACCTTGAGAAACTCCAACTGGATATCCCTCAATTTTAACTCAGTCGTTCCTACACCTATTCTTTGTAGAGGAAAGATCTTGTGATAACTGCATAGATTTGCATATATCCAACCCATGGTTACTTCCAATCAATTGTGATATTTTTGTTGTGTTATAAAATATTTCACCACGGTACACATCCATATTGGTAAAGGCAAAATCAAAGAGCACATTTAACCACAGAATTCACTACGGTAATATTTATGATCACCTTCACTTCCAAAAAACAATTTTAAAAAATCTCGTTCCTTTTACTTTATTTGGTCCTCTTCTTCAGACATACCTCATAAAGTCTTTATCATCGGACACCACCTTACTGTTTTCTCTTTCACTCCACTCAGGCCTTGAACCAGAGAGAGAAGTTGCATGTACTTCCCCTGGATTTTGCAAGACATTAGGTCATGCCATGTTGCCCACAACAGAGAAGCTTCCTAGGGTGAAACCACAAAGCTAATTGTGATCTCAGCTCTGCTGCCTCCAGGAAAAGGAGAGGCAGGGACCTGCCCTGATTTATTACTAACTGGAGATAAAACGGTGTCAATTTCTCAAAGTCAGGCAACATTTACTTCTCTGTTCACAAACTTCAGGCCATGGTGGGAGAAAAATGCTTTCTCAACTGTACCCATTATTCTTCTTTAAACATACAATGCATACTATGTAGTTTAGAAGTCTGGGTGAATTGAACTTTGCTTTAAATATCTGTTTTTCCATTCAATGCCGATTTCGAGGATTTCGAGTTTCTTTCCCAACCCTGGCGGATCCGTGTAAGGGTCCTGTCTATGCACGGCAGGATGAGGATAAACTTGATCACCAACACAGTGCAAGGAATGATGAGCGCTATCACGTAGGCTGAAGGAAGATACCATCTGAGAATTGAAGGATTGAGGAATCTCTTTCCCCCGTACACCAGGGTGTGGGCTGTGCACAAGATCAGAGTCAAATAACCCAGTTTGGACTATAAGCAAGAAACAAAAATATGTATATAAACATATTTACATTTTAAAGTGAAACATTCTAAACCATTTGTCAACAACCACAAAACTTTGAAACCTATAATATTTAGAACACTCTACTAAGTACTGAAGAAAGCATTAACCCTCCTTCGGAATGAGAAATACTTCATTTTAAAAAAAGATTGTGCTTACAAATGACGTGGTGGTTTCATCTTAACCTGGCCAGACGGGAAAGTTTCCTAGGACTAAACTCTTTTGAGTTAGAATAAATAATGTATCTTGCCTTCTTCCTCAATGGTAAAACTCTTTCCTTGATCACTTTTTCTGAAGGCCAGAGATGAATGAGATACAGTGTGTGCTCCAGAAGCACCACATTACTATGTTACTGACTAACAGCAGATGCTAGCTAATTTCTATCGCAATAAAGAGCAATTGGCAAACTTGACTTTTGTTTGTTTGTTTTGGCCTAAATACTAAAGCTCGATGTTTATTTCTGTCTTAATGCCTTGAATAAAGGTGTTAACATGAGAAAATGTTGACTGCATTTGGTCCCTGGGAGAAACTGTGTGACTTTTGAAATTCAAATAGCTCTTTAAAAGTCAAATCTAATTTCAGTTCCAAATGGTCTATTCTTTTGTACTGGTTCACAATGAACATGCATCAGAATCATCTGGAAGTCTTGTTAAAACGAATTGCTGGGCCATACCTCCAGAGTTTCTGATTCATTGGGTCTGGGTGGGGCCTGGGGATTTGTGTATCTAACAAGGTCCCAGGGGATGCTGATAATGCTGGTCCAGGTACCACACTCTGAAGACCACTGGTCTATAAGAATAGTTACTAACCGCCTTTAATGAGGTGTCTGGTGGTTGATATGTGGAAAAAACCAATTTTCCCTCTTACAGACCAGCATTGAGTCTGGTATGACGACAGTCAACCATATCTTGCTTCAAAGGTTTTAAACTTTATTTCAATATATGTCTTTCCATATCAATATGTCCATATTCTAAGGTTGATTTTCAGAAGTAGAAATTTTGTCTTTGGGTTTCTCTTTACCTTCCACCTAGTACATCTCCACACACAAAGCTTAATAGTTGTTGATGCTTTTCACTCTATAGTCTTTGCTGTGGCTCTGGGAGTAGTCAGGAATCTTGGCAAGGGATACCCTGCTAGGAAGTCAAGCCATTATGAAATTTGCCTTTTGGTACCAGAGTTTAGCATTTTCTAATTTGAACTTGTTTCAGTTGCTATTTTTATGAGATTGCTAAAGAAGTGATAAAGCAAAATGAAATTTATGCATAGTATGAGAGCAAAATGAGAAAACTTGTAAAGCCAGACTCATTTTGCTATATAAAGTAGGGTACATCTTGAAGTCCTTACCTGGACAAATCGGAACTCTCTCCAGTTGACCATGTTGCTAACTGATGGTAAGGAAGTGATTCCCAAAAGTACAAATAGGAAAAATCCAAGGATTCCCAAAGATATATATGAATCATTAAGCCAGGCGGTAGAGGTACTAAATGGATTTTCTTTCTTGGTTGTTGCCTAAGAAAAATTATAAGCAATTTTTTAAAATTACATTTTTTATGAACTTCCCAAACTTTTCAAGGGACTGAAAAATACCTCTGTATGGTTTATTTACTCAAGGCAAATTGCATGACATTTCTTAATAATAATTTGAAAATAATTATAGAGAAAAATATGCTTAGAAATTATATTTTTTGTAGAAAATGTAATTGGTTCTGCTGGGACTTTATTACAATAGTTGACTCCAGGAATTGTGTAGGGAGTTTTAATTGACCCTATACATCCTAAAACAAAGTAAACATTTACTTAAACCTTCTTTACCATATGGTTTCTTTTTCCCCAAGCAAAACTTGATGTTCTCAAATGATTACATCCAGATTCTGTTTTTTAGCTTTATATGCTGATTATTCACACATACAAAATTTGGGTTCTTTTGTGTTTACTACGTCGCAGTATAGCATCAAGTCTGTCACACCATAGATTGAGAGAAATCAGGCCCCTGTAATGTGTTCTTACCCAAGAACCTCCCATGTATCTGTTAGGGAAATAATGTAGAGAAATCCACAGAAGCACCATCAAGGAGTTATTGACTAATACACTCTGAGACTGCAGTAAGATTGATCAAAACCAATTATTTCCAAACTAGAACTGATGTATAGCACTTCCTCTGGGACTGCTTTAAGACTCCTTGAGCTGATTCTCTCTGAATTTTTTGACTATGCAGAAAACAGTATTTGACATTTGCTCAGAATTGTTTAGCTTTCTAGTTATTGAGGACACCTTCCCACAAGTCAAACATTAATGGAGTTATAAGCACCCTTTTGTGAATCTGTTTACATTCCTGTGACACATGTTTGAATAGCCCAGCTACTTATAAGACGGTTGGTTTTGACTTCCAAAAGGAAGTAGCATGCATAAAAATAGAAGCTTAAAAACACATTGGTTTACATTTATTGACTGCTCCCCAAAGGAATTCAAGTAGATATCATTAGGTTTCCTGAGGCCCCAAATCTGTCAGTTTGTCAGTATCCCAGCGAGTCCTGGGAATACAAGTGAACCTTGGAATCTAACTTTCATTCTCAATAGTTGTATGAGATCTCAACTGGATTTATTAAAAAAAAAGAGAGATATGAAGTGTCTAATTCTAGTTACTTTAAAAAATAAAGATGCTTAGACGAGTGATTTTTCTATAATTGTGAAATGGACTACAATGTGGCAAGGTTCCTCTTTGATTTAAGGAATAGGACAATATAAAAGAGTAAAGATTTACCTGGGTGATGGTCATATTTCTCCACCTCCATCGTACATAATAACGAATCGGAATCACAAGTGTGTAGATGACGTGAAGGAAGGCAAATCCCAGTGCTATCAAGCCAAGCTGCTTTCTGCAAAGCATCCAGTGGTCAAGCCAGTCTGGGAATCGGCGGTATTTTGTACCTCGGTACAGCTGCAGAATGGCAGCAATAACACCGGGGAGGTAAACCAGTGCAAGCAGCGTAAGCGCTGCTATTGGAAAGACACGATTTGGAATGGAAATAGCCATGCGAAATGTGCTATCCTTCTTTTCATGAACATAAGGGTAGATTACTTCTCTTATAACACAGTAGAAAAAGAGGAAGGCACACAGAACAGCAGACAAATAGAAGGGGAACTTCCACAATGGAAATAGTTGCAGGGGGTAGTTTTCAATTTCTTTGGCTGCCATGAGAGATCCTTGATCCAATGGAGTAAGTCCAAGAGTACGAACAATATCTATCACTCGTTGCTTGGCTTTGCTGTCATTTCCACAGACAAACACCTAGATTAAAAACAATTAATTTTGTATTTATTCTTTCTTTAGTAATTATTTTGAAAGTCTATATAAGCACCATGCAGAACAATGACGTGTAGTAGTGAACTGCTTTTCAGAGAAGGATGTAGGATCAACATATTTAATGAGAAGATGTTTTAAACTTGCACATGTGTGCTAGATGTGTACCAGGGTTTTAAGTTGAAAGTGGTTTCAGACACATCATACTGATATGATAAGACTTGGTTCTCCACAGTGTGAACAGTTTGATCTTTCTTCTGTATTTGTGGGTGCTGCATCACTAAAGGATTACTTCTAATCTCATGAATAAATGGAACCAGTTTCATGCAGGGTAATGGGAGTGGAAAGGATATCCATCAACAATTTAGCTATGTTATTTTCTAGTACTGACCAGAGGCCTCCAGAGAATGACACCAATGGGTTCCATCAAACTAAAAGCTGAGGGTGCAGACAGTGGGAAATAAATCACAACAATTGACTACCCTACTTGGTCAAACCCAAGAAAATTATTCATGGCACATATTAGCAGAATGAAATGTTTAGTGGGTATTTTATTTTGGACTTATATTTTGGAAACTTGGAGGTAGGTGCACATTAAAACATTCACTTTTTAAAGACTGAGTGTAAATTCATCATTTACTCTTACCTGCCGACTTGCATCCAGTGCTCCTGACTGGAGAGCCCAGGCCGAGATGGTGTTAAATGCTTTTACTACTCGGGCTCCCGGCACCAACTGAGCAAGGTATTCTGCGTTAGATTCTGGATACTGATTGATTTTGAGGTTGTTGCTGACATCAACCAATATTTTCCCATTGAGAACCTCAATTAGTTCTGTGAGAAAATCATAATGCTCTCTGTGGACTGTTATGATTATGATGTCAGATTTCTGGGCTGCTTCTGAATAGCTCAAGACCTCTGCACCGCTGGGCAGCAGACTGGACATGTGGGGGTTTCGACTTCCAAAAACAATAGAATAACCACACTGCAGCATTTTAAGTCCCAGTGATCTTCCAAAATCTCCAGTTCCAAAAATACATACAGTCTCATGCTTTTCTGAAGAATTCACAGTAAGAGGAAGTGAATCTGAAGATGTTTTCTCCATAACTGAAAGATAATAACACAGATACCCAACAAAATATGAATGCTCTGGGCATGGAAAAATTAATAAGAATCATTTCCAGGAAACAATGATTGACTGATGTTGTTCTAATCTTCTAATGAATTATCTCAAGCGTATTCTGCACAAAATTTGGAAGGAGCAAAAATTGTCATATATATTCTCATAGGTGTCTTATTGAACAAAATCATTGGTGAAAAACTTCTTCTGTTGATAAAGAGATGCAGTGAAAAACTAAGACACTTACTGGTGGGTGTTTTAAACTATGGACATGTATTGCAATGATATTGCATTCATCAAACAGTTACGGTTCCAAAAGTTCTCAGGGCAAAATCCGACAAAGAATGGTCTAACGAGGAACTTATAGACCAATTCACTTATGTTTAGTGATACATAAATCCCAAAGAAAACATTAGCAAACAGAATCCAGCTGCTTGTTAAGAGAAAGTGCACATTGATCAAATGGGGATTATTCTAGGAATGCAAAGATTAGTTCTGTAAATTCAATATTAGAAAATCTATTAATATAATTTACCATATTAGAAGATTTAAGGAGAAAAATATGGTCATATTTATGTATGCCAGATAGACATATGTTAAAATTTGACATTTATTCTTGATTCATAGTAAAAAAGGAATAGATAAATAGTTCCTTAACATATACAGTATCTCTCTCACCCTAAAATCTAATATCGTGCTTAATAGAGAATTGCTAGAAACATTCGCAATAAAGTCATAAACCAGACAAATATATCTGCTAAGACCACTTTAGTTATTATTGTTTGGAAATTCTAGCTAACACAACTAGATCAGAGAAAGAAATCAAAGGTATAGAAATTCAAAAGGGGTTGCAGATAATCAAATTGCAGTCTTGGAAAACTCAAGAAAGTCAACTGAAAAAGTACCATATATATAAAAATAATTCAACATCTTGTCTGGGAACCCAATTAATGTCAATATTCTCCATATATTAAAAAAAAAGTTTGAAGATTTAATAGAAGAAAGGGCCCTATTTAATAGTTGCAACAAAAAGAAAATATTTAGAAATAAACTTAACAAGATAACAGGATATGTACAAGATCTCTATGAAGAAAGATTTAAAATTCCCCTAAGACTCAGAGAAGAAGATTTATGTAAATTGACATGTACAGCATGTTTCTGGATGGGAAGGCTCATCTTCACAAAGATGTCAGTTTTCCCTAATTTAATCTATAAATTCTAAAAAGTAGGGTAATGAATATGGGGCTAGTTCTATTAAATATTAAAATGTTATAAAGCTAAATAATGAAATAATGTGGCACTGTCACAGGAATAGAAAATATTCAGTGGAATAGAGTTAAAAAAATACAGAAATGGACCTAAGCATATATGATAAAGATATTATCTCAAGTCAATGAGAAAAAGATGGATTATTCAGTAGCTAATAATGGGACAACTAAATAGCCAATTGGAAGAAAAAGTTGAATCTATATCTTGCACTTCACTCCAAGGTAAATTTAAAATATATTAAAGATTTAAATATACATATATATATATATATACACAAACATATATTTTGCATATGTGTGTGAGGAAGATTAGTCCTGAGCTAACATCTGTTGCCAATCCTCCTCTTTTTGTCTGAGGAACATTGGCCCTGGGCTAACATCCGTGCTCATCTTCCTCTACTTTATATGTTGGATGCCTGCCATGGCATGGCTTGATGAGTGGTGTGTAGGTCCATGCCCGGGATCTGAACCTGCAAACCCCGGGCCGCCAGAAGTGGAGCACGTGAACTTAACCACTATGCCACTGAGCCCGCCCCCTAAATATATATATTTTTAAAAAATGGAACTATAATAGAAGTAGAAGAGGCCATGGAGAATTCTTTATAACCTTAGAAGGGAAAGGCCCTTTTCTTATATCACAAATCCCTAAAACCATTAAAGAATAAAGTGATAAATGTGATTACATAAAAATAAATTATACCTGCAAAGCAAAAATCACTGTAAGCAAAGTCAGAAGACAATCAACAAACTGGAAAAAATATTTTTAACTCATACAAATCAATAAGAAAAAAAAATTGCCCATTAGAAAATTGGGCAAAGGATATGAGCTGACAGTTCAACCTAAGGAAATATAAAAGACTTTTCAACATAGTAAAAGATCCTTAATTTTATCCAGAATAAAAGAAATGCAAGTTAAAACTAAACTGAGATACTGTTATAAACCATGTGACTGTGTTACTTTTTAAAAGTTTGTGAAATTTAAATTAAAAACAAACCAACCAAATAAAAGTTCTTGAAGTTTCTATGATCTAATAAAATAATCTAGGTTACTATCTATACTTTTGAAGAATATTATTCTATTAGTATTGATTGACTTTTTCTCAAAAATTCTTCTCTTCCTAGCATTTAGCATTTAGTTTAAGCTTTCGGCTAATCTTTTTTTTTTGGTTTCTTTTGTTCAGTTATGTGTCCTCCTCAGTGCTAAGAAGAACACTGATTATGACATGACAGACTAGGCACTTCTTGACAAATATTTGTCAAATGATGTCAGAAGGATGGAATGTAGGAGTTGGAAGTAGTGGTTTACTCTGTGGACCGGGTACAGTATGAGGAACATAAGGAAGAGGAAGCCGAATGATTCAAGAGAAACCACTGGGGAAGAGTATGGGAGAAGGAGAGAAGTGGAGGAGGATGTTTTAGAGACATTACTTCTTTCACCCAAAAGGGTTTAATGCAAAACTCAGTGAATTTGATGTGGATTTTCAAACCAGACATAATCACTATTCAATTCTTGCATAATGGATTTCATGTAGATTGTAGAGCATATGAAGCTTGCACCTTTTTAATGGGGTTTCAGAAATTTGCCCTTTCTATATTAGCCTACGGAAAACACTTGTATTCTAACCTGAGATAATCTGAAGGTGTGTACCTGTATCACAAGCAGACCATTCAGGGTTTTGTAGGTAGTCAGAAGTCATGGAAGAAATGGACAAGAAATACAAGACTTTCCTGTACTTCCACAGAAACTCTGAATCATCGAATTAAGCACAACAACTGAATCATTTTATCAACTAGCCAGTGACTGATATCCTGAATGGCGTCAGGGGAGGGCATGACCGTATATGGGAAAGCACCTGGAGATGATTAAGGCCCATCATATGGAAACATACCTGTGCCTTTGAAAAATTCTTAGTAGCATCTACAAACGCAAACTAGTTTGCAATTTATATTGGTTAGTTGCCAATCAGTTAACAACTAGTTGTTATAACTCAAAGCTTCAAACTGCTGAATGATACCTTGATTATTCTACTTTGTAGAACTGGTTTGTGAGTGTGTTGAAAGAATGTCCGTCTGCCTGGCTATCTCTTCACTTTTTCTCCATTCTTTTATCCCAATATATTATTTTTCTCTCTCATATATTGGGATGAACGTTTGCAAGCAAAATACAGATTTGATAAAGTTGCCAGTGTCCTGTAATGAGATGGATGATGTCTTTATTGACATATTCTCACTTGGATCATCTTAAATATTGCAAAGAGAAAGTGATTCCAGACTCTATTTTAACCCATTTGGCCACTACATTCATTTATTCTAACCTGCCATAAACTGTTTTTTTTTTTTGTGAGGAGATCAGCCCTGGGCTAACATCTGTGCCCATCCTCCTCCACTTTATATGGGACGCCGCCACAGCATGGCTTGCCACGCAGTGCGTCGGTGCGCGCCCAGGATCTGAACCGGCGAACCCCGGGCCGCCGCAGTGGAGCGTGCCCACTTAACCACTTGCGCCACCGGGCCGGCCCCTGTTTTTTTTTTGAATGAAGCTATTCACCACACAGTACTATTTTTTGTTCCACCTCTTGCTAGCAGTGTGATGTTGGGTAAGTTACTCAAGCTTTTTGTGTCTCAGTGTCATCATTTTTAAAATGAGAGATTGATAGTATCTACTTTAGAGACATTATGAGGATCAGATCAATTAATGTATCCTAAAACAGTTCTTGAGACATAACAAGTACTCAAGAAATTCGCTATTATTAATATATATATTATTGAGTAGTCTATTAATTAGATAATTAACTTATTCATTATCTAATTAATGTAACCTTTATATATAGTCTATAAATTAAGGGTCAGTTATGCTTCTATAACTGTGATTATTGGAAATACATAAAATTTATCTGAAATAGCATTCAGTAATTCTTAAGAAGCTTCTGCTTTCCTCACATTTCTTATAAATAAAACCCTGTATGAAATGGCTTTAGGGCATATGAATTTATCAAAACACAGATGTAAAAACAGCTCAAGTGTGACCTTCTCTCATTTGTAATTCTTTCACATTTTATTTTAATATTTCTCTCTTAAAATGCAGCTTGGCAATCCAATCTAACACACTTGGGCTGTTACCCCAACCATTAAAATTTATTTTCACTCTTAAACTTCCAGAGACATCACTGGGCAAATTGAAGACGCAAAAACAGTAAGGAGATATTAAAATATCACTGGTTGATTTAATAGAAAGAAATATAGTTATTCCATTGGGCAGTTAGTTACTCCTTACCAAGTTATAGGGGTTCTAAGTTGATAATTGTGTTAGCCACATCTTGAGCTCCACTTTAAATCCTCCTCGTTCTCTTTCCAGTCCCTGGGCAGTAAATGAGCTCTGCTCAGTTTCCTCTGCCTAACAGAGGCTCACTTGGGGGCCCACATCTTGTATCTCTTGAGTTTTGTCCTGGGGCTTCTCTGATACCTGTGCCTGCTTAGCACTCAGACATGTACAACCCATGGGGCCACCATAGACCAGTGGGTGACAGGACCCCATGGATAAGTGCTTCCCCTTCCATCTTCTGGCACACAGTGCTGACATATTTCATACGGCTCCTCAGAAAGTCCCAGTGAAATAGAGAATCACTTATCTGTAGCAGCGGCCAACTTAATGCATTCTTGTCCCGTCTTTCCCACATTCCCTGCTTTATGCCCCTTGCCCCTCACTCCTGCTCCCTGGA